AGTGAGCGCGCGCTCTGATGAGAGGCGCGCCGTCATCTGCACTGAGTCTAGCACTATTCCCAGAAAAGAAATATTCTGGCTGGGGGATAGCATGCTCTTCGCAAAATTGATTTTTAGACCCAGGCACTCTAGATGACTGATAATCCAAGACCTGTGTGTCACTAACTGGCTCTCTGATTGTGCTAGAATTAGCCAATCGTCGAGATAATTTAGTATTCGCACTCCCCGCTGTCTCAGGGGGGAAAGTGCTGCATCCATACATTTCGTAAATGTACGGGGTGCCAGTGACAGGCCGAATGGTAGTACTGTGTACTGGTATGACTGTCCCTCGAAAGCGAATCTCAGAAATGGCCTGTGATGAGGCGCTATTGGAATGTGAAAGTAAGCGTCTTTCAGATCCACTGACAGAAACCAATCCCCCGGGCGAACTTGCGCGAGGATATGCTTGGTTGTTAACATTCTGAACGAGCGAATCATTAAAGCTTTGTTCAGATGTCTGAGATCTAGAATGGGGCGGAGACCGCCATCCTTTTTAGGGACGAGAAAATAGCGGCTGTAAAAACCTGCCTCGCTCATAGAGGGAGGGACTGTCTCTATAGCGCCTTTCTCTATCAGTTTGAGCATCTCGGTGCGTAGAACATGTGAAACATCTTTTCTCACTTTCGTCTCTACCACTGCTGTGAAGCGGGGCGGTCTGCGAGCGAATTGAAGCGAGTAACCGTGTTTTATTATGTTCAAAACCCATTTCGGCATGTCGGGGATATTTTCCCAAGCTTTCGCTCGCACAGATATGGGCTGAATGCTGGCCGGGGGCGTGTCGCAGTGACGTATGGCTCCCGCCAGCGAATCGTTCTGTGTTAATGCCGAGCTTACAGCTCTCAGCGGCGCGGGCGCGCGCTGAGCAGCTCTGTTGAATGCCGAGTGCAGGGGTGCGTGTGAGATTACAGGCACGCTCGCTGTAATGCTCACAGAGTGAGATGGGGAAATGTTTAACACTGTGTGTGTAGTACTTATGGGTGGGGGTGCATAGACTGTGGTAGGCACGCGCGCCACTTTCATAAAACTTCCCGCTCGTGGCGGGAGGTTTTTGGCCATATAAACAGTGTTTGTGAGTTGGGGTGCGTGCATAACAGCGGGCACACGCGCTACTCTTATACAACTTCCCGCTTTTACTGGGGAAGTGTTTATAACTGTGGGAACAGTGCTTGTGTGTAGTGGTGCATACGTGACAGTTGGCACACAATCTACATTTATGGGGCGTCCAGCCTGAGCTGGGAAAACATTTGGCACTGCGTTGACAGTTTTGATATGTGGGAATGCGCACTTTGGTGTGGACACGTGACCCTTTAATGACACAGGCAGAAAATAGCTCTTTATGTGATTTCTGTGTGTCGCCGTAAAAACGGCGTTTGTTTGCAGGTGGGCGAGCTGTGTGGCTGGCACATTGGCTGCTGTATAGACATTTCCAGCCGCCTGTAAGGGGACTGGGTAATGCTTTAAACGTTTTGGAGAGAACGGTCCGGCTCTTGCGAGACACGCGCTCTCCCTTTTCCTCCCTGTAGCTAGGAGGACTTACGAGGCTCTGGGTTCAGCACAATCCTGGGCCGAGGTCCCCGTCGCTCGGGCGGTTGTTTCCTGTTGGCAGAGCGCGAGCGGCGTCGAAAATCCGTTTCAGGTTTGGGCTGAGAGACGGGGGGCGCCGTCTTAGCTCGCTGCTGCTGAGGCGGCCGTTGGCGGCTCTGCGATGAGCTAGATCGCTTGGGCAGGAAGTGACGCATAGCCTGTGAGTCCTTACGGGCTTCGGTGAAGCGCTCGGCGAACTCCTTCACCGCTGGTCCAAACAGGCCGCTTTGGGAGATAGGCGCGTCGAGAAATGACGCCTTATCTGCATCCTTCATCTCTGTTAGCGTCAGCCACAGATGGCGCTCAAGGACAGTCAGGTTAGCCATAGCACGGCCGATGGATTGGGCGGTGGCTTTTGTAGCTCGCAGCGCTATGTCAGTGGCGCTGCGTAGGTCCTTAAACGCCTCAGGATCGGGTCCAGACTCGTCCATACTGCAGAGAAGTTTGGCTTGAAACACCTGGAGGACAGCCATAGAGTGAAGCGCTGATGCAGCTTGGCCGGCGGCGGCGTATGCGCGACCGGCGAGAGCTGAAGTAGACCGGCAAGGCTTCGAGGGATGAGAAGCTTTAGCTTTCCATCCAGCGTTGGAGGGTGGACACAGATGATTGGCCACAGCCTCCTCGAGGGGCGGAGTCCCCTCATAGCCTCTTTCTTTCGCGCCGTCCACAGAGGAGAGCGACAAAGAAAAAGAAGGCTTCAGGCGAGCGGAGTGCGGGGCTTTCCACGACTTCGTGAGTTCGTCGTGAACTTCCGGGAAGAAGGGGGAGGGTCTTTGTCGAGGGGCCTGTCGGCGCCCCTGCAGGAACCACTCGTCCAGTCGGCTGCGGGCGGGTTCTTCCGGGTAAGACCAATCGAGCCCGAGGTCTTCCACGGCCTTAGAGAGAATGCGGACGATCTCCGAGTCCATGCTGGAGCCCGCGCTCGTGCCCGCTGATGTCGATGGAGCGGGGTCGAAGGACGAGCCCGGCCAGTCGTCGGATGCAGCATCACAGGAAAAACTGTCATCCTTATCATCGTCATCCCCTGGCGCGCCAAACGAGATGAGCCCCATCGCTCCGCTGGAGGGGTGCTGGTCCGCCTGTGTGAACTGGACTGGCGGCGGGGAGTCTTCGGGTGGTGGTGAAGCACGCGGGGATTGGCCCGGCGTGACATCACTGCAAACCGTGTGCTCCGGCGGCCTCTGTGAGCGGCGTTTTTTCTTTCGCGGCTCGACTAGAGGAGACGGCAGCACGGAAGATGTGGACTCTTTCGCGGTGAAAACGGCGAAGCGAGCGCGCAGCTCGGTGAGGCCCAGGGCGTCACACTCGGGACATCCGCCTCGAGTGAGGGCAGCCTCTGCGTGGTCCGGTCCCAGGCAGCGGGCGCAGATGATGTGACGATCCCCGTCCTGAAGAGGGCCTCGACACGAGGCGCAGGAAGGCATTTAAAACAACGCCTTGTAAAATTTTCTCTTTTAGAAAAGTGTCGCGGGGGCGAACACTGATAGCTTTGAAAGGATATAGATGATGCGCGCCGGATGGCTTAGCAGAAGGGATCGAAGGCGGCTGAAGGCGCCGGCGTCCTCGAAGCAGTCCTGCTGTAGGCTTGTCGACGGCGGCGGCGAAAAGACTCCAACAAATCCGGAGGATCCAGCGAAGAGAAGGTTCTTTGCTGAAGGAGATTAAATCTAAAGAACTCAGACGACGGGGCGCCCAATATATAGCCCTTAGCCACGCCCATCTTGGCGGGCTCTGACGCGCGTTGGCGCGAAGCACGCTCATTGGAAGCGGGTTCAGAGTCGCCCCGTCATTGGTTCGTGCAAGTTGCCGCAGCACAGCCAATGACCGAGCTGCCTCACTCATTGCTGTATGCTGTGCAGCTGCAATGCGTTTTACATAAAGACTTCAATATTTCTCGAGAAAAGGAGTTTTCCCATAGCGTAAGCTTACGCAATAAGAGGAACCTCTCGAAAGGGAAGTGAAATTTGGCACTGGGATATCAAGCAAAACTAAGCGTGAGAATGGGAGATGATTTGTCTGCAGATCAATGCAGCATTCCCGCTTGTGTCGCGGACCCCGGACGACTGCGAGAGGCGGTGGTATGCGCTACATTCCTTTGTGAATAAGTCTTAGTGAGTTACGAGTCCTCTCGACTTCTTTTAAGCTGTCCCAGACTTAGGTGCTACTTTTAGGGCTAAAATGCTTCGTGAATTACTCTTAGTGAAAAAAATTAGGAGCCCTAAAGTTAGGAGTGACACGCCCATTATTTTTAGGAGTTGCTCCTAAATTCGCCAGTTAGGAGCTACTTTTAGCCTTAAAATTCTTTGTGAATACGGCCCCTGGCTTCTGGATATGAAGGATTCAAGTCTATTCTGCCATAGGGTTGTGTATGAATCAGAATTGAATTTAGTCTTCATTTCATGTGAGTGTATGATTCTTCAATGTTAAACTTTTTTTTTTTAAATGTGTAACAAAAAACAGTGCACTTAAAGGGATAGTTCATCCTAAAATGAAAATGAAGTGATCATTTACTCACCCTTGTGTTGTTCTAAGGTCATATGCCCTTCTTTCTTTTATGGAAAACAAAAGGTGATTTTTTTTAAATGTCCCACTCGCACTCGTCCATAGAATGGCAGCGTATAGCGACCAGCATTAAGCTTTTTAAAAATGATGCAAAAGTATCCCTCAATGATCCCATATAACACGTGTTGTATATTAAGTGATCTGGTGGTATTTACAATAGGGTTTAGTGAAAAACAAACCAACATTTAATGTATTATTTAACAAAATTCTTGTTCTAGTTTAAATATTTTTAGATGCTTCTTTATGAAGCATATGAATTCACTATTTCAATTAATCTATCAGCAATAAAATGAGTAAGTTTAGCACTATATGCACTCTTTTGTTATTTCCATTAAAACAATGAAAAACATCGTACACAACTGCAATCATGTGGATTCCCATGGTGCATTGATGTCAAAAAGGCAATCATGATCATGACATGAAAACCCCCTTGTGTCACTAAATTGATATAATAAACTCTAATCCAACTATCTTAAGTGGATTTCAGAAGCAGGATTTAGAGCGCTATGTTCCAACACTCACACCTGCCCCTCCAGCTGTTACTGCAGTTATCATTCTATCCCAGATTTACCCCACCCAAAATCCTGGTTTGAACCAGCATATTCAAACAAATTTGTGTCCCTACTGCTCAGTTGTTACGTGGCACATGCAAACCAACACATTTTAGACCTCTGTCCTTATTTCATAAACAAATTAGTTAAATATTAATAGAGTTGTTCCGATTCCGATACTAGTATCGGAAATGCCGCCGATACCAATAAAAATTCTGGCATCGGTATCGGCGAGTACTTCAATCCGCGTACCGATCCGATACCATTTTCTTAAAGGGGGGGTTTACTGCTTTTTTTCTTTGCATGATTGTGTTTATGGGGTGCAATGTAACATGTATTCGTGGTTTTTCTTTTTTTAAAAGTCTTATTTTTCATAAATTTCACCTTTATTGTAAGCCTCTTTCTCCTCTGTCATTTGAACGACCGGTTGACTTCCTGATTCTATGAAACCACTCCCTCAGAAACAGGCAGTGGGCTCAGATTGGTTAGTTTGGGCCGGTGTGTTGTAATTGGCTAAACTGCGTAGCGCACGTTGTCCGGAACCGTCACGCCCCTTACCTTTACGGGCGTGAGTTTCATGTGCTCCGGTTAATGTAAATAATGGTGTCGATACTGCCGTATCAGTTTGAGCCCGAATTAGACCCAGAAAGCGGCGATGAAGAGTCAAACAGAACCTCCCCAAACACGGCTGTTACAAAACGTTTCTGAATGGTACGTTTTTGAATTATTATTATTCTATTCTTCTATTATTACATAAGAAGTTTGATACCCTGTTATACTTGAAAATGCTACTGCTGCTTGTTAGCTTTTTGAGATATGTTTTTATCTTGATTAAACATTTAATACAAATGATTACATGAGTAATACAGTTTTTAGCAATAGTTTCTTGTGGAATCCGGCATTGAATTGTTGGAGATTCTGGAAGCTGTCTTCAGTGAAATGTGCCGCACAAAGAGCTAAATTACGATTGTAATTGTCAGAAACATTATCAAACATAAATTTTAGCCATTGTTGACGAACTACAGCGTCCGTAGGAAGCCCGAACACAGAAGACCTAACAGCTGGATGAAAATAACACACTTTCGACGGCATGGCTAGCTCTCCCCTGTAACTCTTCCTCTTCGGCAAAGCCGCAGAAATATGGCCATGCCCTTTATTGCGTATTCCGGAGGGAGGGTTGATGCAAATGTATGGGTTAGTGACGTCTAAAACCCAGCTGTAGTCCCAATCGAGTCGTTTTTGTAGGCATTTACACTTCCTGATTTTTAAAAGACGATATCTCTGCTTACATTGAACTTTCAGCGCTGCAACTTTGCAGATACTGTTCATGCACCAACAGCAACATTACACACTATTTAAAATGAAAAAAGTGAAATCGCAATCAACCACCCCTTTAAACAATAATAACTAGTTATGCACGCTAGCTTTGCGTAACGCTGCAAATCGGAGCTCAATTCTTCTTCGCTGCTCTAAACAGTGGTTGCTTGTGGCAACACAGGAAGTCGTGCTGTTGCCACACAAGCAACCACTGTTAAGAGCAGCGAAGAAGAAAACGCGCGCGCGCCCTGCAGTGTGTCCGCTGTTTAGCAGTATTTCAGACTGGACAACCAGGTAGTAAAACATTCTAACTATAAGTAACTTTGCAACTACATGTCAACTAACTGTCATTAGAGTATTAGTAGACTGTCTGCTTAATATCTGCTAACACTTTATTTTGATGGTCCATCAATATTCTACTGACTATAAGTAACTTGGCAACAAGTCAACTTATTCTACTAACCCAAACCCTAACACCTAACCATAACCTAACCTAACAGTCTACTAATACTCTAATGAGAGTTAGTTGACAACATGTAGTTGCAAAGTTACTCATAGTTAGTAGAATGTCTAAAATGGACTATCGAAATAAAGTGGAACCGAGTACGGTAACACTTTATTTTAAGGTGCTTGTAATAAGCAGTAATTAACAGTTAATAAGACACTTATAAGACCTAATAAGATGCATATAAGATGCATATAAGCATTAACTACTTCATATAAGGGTTAATTAAAGGTCTAGGCCCTGAAGAGATCAGGGAAACTACTCCCTCTTGGGAAGGTCAATTTTTAAGTGACTGGGAGTTTGTGTTACCATTTATGTTTGTTCGGCTGTTCTAAAAGTGCAATGTATTGATACTTGAGAAATGTATTATTTAATTAAATTTATTTATTATCATTAGTTAATGCTTATATGCATCTTATAAGGTCTTATAAGTGTCTTATTAACTGTTAATTACTGCTTATTACAAGCACCTTAAAATAAAGTGTTACCTAATTAACATATCAATTAAATAAATAATATTTTAAAAATCATGATATGACAACTTCACATTTTTGTGCTTCAACTTACGTTTCTATTACAACATATGGGCAACTGTTACCCACACGATGTTTAAGCAGTTCTTAATCGCTTTATTATTGTCCATCGTGGAGGGGGTTGGGGTTTTCTGCTGATCATCTGACTATGATTCCCCCCCTCTTTAATCATTTTCCTTTAATCTTCACCTTAACATGTCTAAATCCTTTCAGGTTCTATTTTTGCCTGGCCTTGTTTTGATCAACAGGGACACTCAAGTTTATGAATCCCTAATCATGCCACATGTACCTGCCTCCCGCTACCCCCCCCCCCCCCCCCCACCACCCCCCACCCCCCCCCCACCCCCTCTCCCCCCCTCTCTCTCTCTGCCCTCCCCCTCTGTTTCTGACTCTCTCGCTCCTCATGCATGGCTCATGGTCTTATTGTTAGAAAAGACAGATCAGGTCACTCTCTGTTGAATCACTGATGAGAAAGGCCTGTTTTGAAGCAGATACTAATCCGCAGTAAGGATACCTCATGCTAGCTTCTGAGAATATGTTTTCATTCTGTCTTTTCCTTCACACTAGTTAGTGCAGTGACTATCTTCATAATGACTCCAAAAGGCATAGATCATAAATCTGTCTCATTTCATGTCTGAACCTTCCATGTTCATGTCATATTTCACCCTAAAATGACCACTGAGAATAAAGGGGATTACAAAAAAACTCACAAGTAAACATTACAACATTTATTACAGTAATTTCTTGTTTATTTAGGGGTGAAATGTGACCTGAAACACTTTTATTAGTAGATGCAGCAAACGGGCCTGCCGTGTTTACTAACTAAAGAACAGAATATACTGTACAGCCCAAGTTACATAATTAAAACAAATTCAACACCTAGTGTGCAATATGAACAGGTAAAGAGGTCATTGTTGCTGTTTGCTGAGGACAAACAAGCTGGCTCCTCATATTTGCCCTCTGTTTGTTAAAATTGTACACTAAAAGGCAAAAGACCATAAAATTGCATGTTATCTCATTCTGTGCACTTGCATTGCAAGGTAATGATTTCTAGTATTGCTCTCAAAGGTTACATTAAAAGCCTACATCTCAAACTATAGGTAATTTCGTCCAGCATAAAACGGTTATTATAGTGCAGCTTATAAAGAGAGCTAGCCTGAAACCCTTTATTTCAGCCAATCTGCTAGGACAATACTCAAAGGTGCCTTGTTGCTATGCAAGTCCCTGTCTCATCACATTTCCATGGTTACAGGGCAACAAGGAATTAGCAGTGAACATCAGAGCTCCCTCAGATACACGTTTTTTCCTGAACGAAAACTGAATTGGTGATGGAGTGAGAAACTTCTTAATATACAATACAGTGGCCTTAGAGTGAGGCATTAAATCACATTATTTCAAATGTAAGAAACATGTTTTATTTTCATAGAGAGAAAAAAATATACATTAATATTAATGACTATTTGTGTCATCAATATAGTGGCAGCACACACAATTAACAGCCATAAATTAAATAATGGTACTTATTGAGTACGAGCGTTGATATTATGAAATGAATCTCAATTAACTCAACATTTTAACAGATGGAAATAAATCAACATGTAACAAAAGGAATTTGATATTTAATCTTGTCATGAATACTTACTATTGCCACTGATCAATAGGAACCATGACAACAAATTATGGATAAATAGATTACACTAGTCCAAAGATCATTTAGATCTGAATTTGCATGGATTTAAAGGGTTAGTTCACCCAAAAATGAAAATTCTATCATCATTTACTCACGTTCATGTCTTTCCAAAACTTTCGTTCATCTTCAGAACACAAATGAAGATATTTTTAATAAAATCTGAGCAATTTCTGTCTCTCCATTGACAACATACGTAATAAAACGTTCAGTGAGATTGTAAAACTAATCCATATGAATTGAGCGGTTTAGTCTAAATTTTCTGAAGAGACACGTTCGCTTAATGATGGACAGATTGAATTTAGGCTTTTATTCACAAATAAATATTCATCAACTCACACATCAGTTAAGATAAACAGAAGCTCAAGCATGTTCGCTTGAGGTGCGAGAACCAATGAGGTTCATTCTCGTGTGTTACGCATCACATTTAAACTTCAGCAAGAACCGATGAGGTTCATTCTTGTGTGTTAAAGCTCTCAAATTTCATCAAAAAGATCTTCATTCTGAAGATGAATGAAAATCTTATGTGTTTGGAACAACATGAGCGTGAATAATTAATGAATTTTCAAGAATTTTCATTTTTGGGTGAACTAACCCTTAAATATAAAATTAGTCATGCACATATAATGCTCTTCTTAATAAAAACAAAAATTCAAAAGTCATGACCTTTATTCATACAAGTACTCCCACATTTTCCAAGTCATTCCTCAGGGATCTGGCCAGGTAACCTGGCACCCTGATCCACAGTATCCCTCGGACTAGAATTGCCACAACTGGGTCTGGTGGTCTCAGCCGTGCTGCTGGTCCTTTGCAGAAACTGAAGAAAGTTTTCATGGATGGAACCTTCGTGACTTGAGGCTCGAAGTTCAACAGGTCTACTGGCGCAACATTTTCTCAGTTTTATCAGTTCCTCGCGGATCTGTCGGTTCAGAAGGCCGTAGAAGAATGGATTCACAGCGAACGAGGAATACGCTAGCCAAGTGACGGCTTCTTCGATGTCCCCTGGGCTCTGAAGCGGAGTGGTGATGGACATGTAAAGGTGGAAACTGAAGTACGGGAGCCAGCAGATAAGAAACTGGCCCACAATGACAACCAGGGTGATAGCAGCCTTTCCGCCACCAAAAACTCTCTCAGGAGACAATCTCTGGGGCAGGCTGCGGGTGGTGGTGATGATAGTGGTCTGGCTGTTGATGGAATCCGAGCGACGCTTAGCTTGGTTGGCCGCCCAGCTGGGCAGTGGTACGTGCTGACGGGCAGCTGTTCGTGCGACTTTGTATACATTGCAATATACTGCAAAAATCACAACAGCAGGGACCAAGAAGCAAAGCACGCTGAAGAGAATAGCAAAAACCTTCCTGAGGCGACTGTGGCTCCAGTGTAAAGAGCAATGGGCCGCTGCGATGGAGCTCTGGTTCCCATACGCTGGCCAACCGAGAAGCGTAACCAAAGCCAACAGGATGGATTTGACCCAAATGAAGACCATAACCCCAAGTGCAAGGTTTAGAGTCATCTTTACCTCGTATCGCATAGGATGAACAATATAGTAGTAGCGTTCAATACTGATCGCAGTCACGGTAAGAATAGAGGCACAGATGAGGAACACGTTTAAAAAGATGTACACCTGGCACTCCAGAACGGTAAACGCTACAGTGCTAAAGAACGGAGAACTAGACACTATCCCGAGAGGCATCAACAATATAGCACAAAGCAAGTCAACTGCACAAAGATGACAAACAAACACATATTTTTTCATGTGAGGAGCTCGGGCAATGGCCACCATGACTCCGCTGTTGCCCAATAGTGCTGCCAGGTTAAGGGTCACCATGCAAAACAACCCAACAAGATCCTTAATCTGGGATTCCGAGTGGATGACCTCCTCCATGCTGGGAGGGGTAGGCTTGGTTGTGATCCACTGGCCGGACGTGTCATTTGGAGTTGTGTGATTGGTCAGGAGACCCAGCATCAGACCTGGCACAGCTTTCTCCATACTTCACCGGCTCGAGATAGAACCAGGCTTCTCCATGTGTAAATGTTGTTTTCTCTTCAGTTTGTCTAGTGTTTGTGTTGAAACCATCTCTGAGAAGAAACGAGCAGATCTATAAATACTGTATTTCATGGGATGTCATGTCACAGAGCAAAGTTTATAGATACTTATATAGAGATAGATTTACATTTGCATACATTTAACAGACATGTTTGTCAAAAATGTGACTTACAAATATAAATATAAAATATATTAATTTATTTTGAATATATTAATAATATTTTATATTTGTAAGTCATATTTTAATAAAAGCAATTGCTTTTATATTGATAAAAGCAATGGTTGTGGAAAGAACTATTGTAAGCTGTAAGCTGTAAATTGTTACAAATAAAAAAAAAATATATATCAACAAATCGCATAGATAGATAGATAGATAGATAGATAGATAGATAGATAGATAGATAGATAGATAGATAGATAGATAGATAGATAGATAGATAGATAGATAGATACAGATGCTGATGCTGATGTTGATGTATATGTAGAAATTCTTTTTTTATTAATATATGAAAAAAATGTCAATATCAAAGTGACTCTGTGTAGCTTTCAAACAAAATATATATAAAAAAACGTTTTTTTGAAACCCTAAAGTTGTAAAAAAAAGGTGAATATTATGCCATGATTTAGTGCAAAGGGTCATTAAAAGGATTGGTGACTGTTTCATACCCATAATGATTAGTTATGTAAATCTGCAACGCCTCCATCACTCATCATTCAGTGAGAGAGAGCAAAATTCCCTTTCATGTCAAACTAAACATGCAATTATTATCAGAACACTAAAGCTGTTATTACATACACGCACTAAACACTTGAGTCCAAATGGAAAGGAAATTCCCTCATACAATGTTAATGAATAAATCCTGAGTGCATATTGGTAATCATTTCTCCAAGAAAGTACAGATCATTCCCAGAATCACAGTGTCAATTTCCTTTTACTTCAGTCTTCATGGAAAATCTCATCTATTATTTTTTTCCCAACCCACTTACCAGGTCTCTCTATATGCTAATGAGGGCAGAACAACATCCTGTCCTTTCTTGTTGGCAACTGACAGATTGCTTTCACCCAACAGGAACATGTTTTTTTGCACAAATGGGTTGTTGACCGTCAGAGATCAATGAAGTTGGAGGAATACATTACTGTTGTTATTGTTGTTTTTTTGTCAGTGGGAGTCACACATGAGTCATACCTGATTGTGTGCCTTGGCCTCCCCACAACACCCACCTATACTCGCTGACCCGTCCCCTCCCCCGACCCACAGACACCACCGCCCCAGGAACTTTTACCCACTTCGCTAGAAATTCAAAAACACATTTTCCACTAAATTAAAATGAATGACCTACTGTCATGTCAGGTTGTGTTCCGCTGTTCTGACTTATACCCACATGTTGCCCTGACACATAACATTAGAGAAAGAAGACAATGTGAGTTTTCTCACCTGTCAATGTCTGGGACGTAGATTTTTCTTTGATCCTCCAATCAGATTTGAACATCTGGACGTATTTACACATGTGTAGAAACTTCTGCAGACATCAAAACAAGTGCAGTGCAAGCCCACAGGAGGCCGCTCGACATCTCAGGTGAGTTCAGTGGAGAGCAACCAGAGTGGATCATGATCCATCAAAAAGTATTATCATCCAGGAAAGCCCCGGCTCTAAGAAGCAAAGTTCATATAGGTTTCCCTTTCCATCTAAAAAAACCCAGGTGAAGCAGAAAGGATATGGTCCCACCTGCTCTTCCTGTTTCCAGTAGTGTTGATCAGGATTCACACCACTTAGGCCGGTGTCCGTCAGGATGCTCTTCCTCAGTGTCCGGTGCTGTGAAGGGCTGTGACTGTCACACATTGTATCTCTGTGATTTTTTTTCTTCCTCTTTCAAACAGACACATACTCCTCTGTCCTCCAGTGTGGCAGTCATCCCCTGGGTCCTACTGCACACCATTAAACTAAAAGATATTTTAATGGTCCATTGTAGCTCGACCAAGTCATTTTTGTCACTTGTAAGGATATTTTTCAAATATATGGGAAGTTCACACAAAAAATAAAAATGCATCATATTATAAATAATTTCTTTGCATATCTTTTTTTTTTATTCATGTGCCCTCGTAATCTTTAATCAAAATAATTCCCCTCCCTCTTGCATCAACTTCTCTTCTCTTCTTTGATGGCGTTTACTGGTGCGATGGCGGGACAACCTGTCACTCACATTACATCACAGCAATAGAAAACCAATTCCGAATGGACAAAATCAAGCCCTACATTTTTTTTTAGAAGTCATTTCACTCAGATATAGGTCACAATAGGGGAAAAAAGACTACGACAACTTCCGTTTCATGCAGAATTTAAATATTGCCTTGTGATACCCAGCAAATTATTATTCTGGAAGATATCCTGGACCATTCAAAGATACCAGATGTTTGGAAGTTTAGCAATGAAAAGTTGTTTGCCTAGGTTTTTGAAAATGGATAACAACATAATTCATTATATTTTATATTATTTTGTAATTATCATTTGTACTTCATTGAGTTTCTCATACATAAAGGTCTGAAAAATCTCAAAGCAGAACGATTTTCTTAACATTTCTTCAATTGGTAGCTGCTTGTTATTCCATTTGTTGTGGAGACAAGTTGCCCAAAAAACACACTAATAAAAAAAACGACTATTTAAAACCGGAGATGCACATATTTGTAAAATATGAGGTAAACACAATGTAGACAAATAATTACATAAACTTAGTTTAGACAAAAGTTCATGTATGCTTACTAGAAATTGAGATTTATGTGTTAAAATGCTGAAGAGGCTTTTAAATGCAGACATGTCTACCTGTATAGTAGTGTGCATACAACAACAAAAAATCAGAATTTGTGTATTATACAATATAATATAATTGTGTATTACATTTTATTAAAACATTGTTTGACAATGAACAGGGGTTGGACAATGAAACGGCAACACTGGACAATCTTCACTGATTTTACATTCCATCAGTAAGAGCAGAATGTGAAGGTTGAATTAGCAGAGCAGTAGCAGCTGAACATAAAATATTGCAATCCACACAACATAATGGGAGACATATAAGACTTCACAAGAGGACAAATTGTTGGTGCACATCTCGCTGGCTCATCTGTGACAGCAAGTCTTTGTGGTGCATCCAGAGCTATAATATCCAGGGTAACGCCAGCATACCACCCACCATGTAGGACAAACCACATCCAACAGGACAGGGGTAACTGTCGACGCAAGAGGAAGCTGTCTGAAAGGGATATCCAGGTACTACCCGAGTTGTATCCAAAAAACATAAAACCACAGCTGCCCTGCAGAATTTAACGCGGCTCTCCTGTTTCCACCTTAAATTGTTCGTCGGGAGCTCCACAAAGTCAATATTCATGGTCGGGCTGCTATAGCCAAGCCTTTGGTCACTCGTGCCAATGCCAAATGTCAGTCTCAATGGTGTCAACAGTGCAAATCTTGGGTTATGGACAATGCGAAACATGTATTGTTCTTTGATGAGTCCGTCACTGCCAAGGATTACCGAACCATTCTGGAGGACCATGTGCACCTAATGGTTCAAGCTTTGTACCCTGAAGTTGGTGCAGTGTATCAGCATGATAATGCACCAATACGCACAGCATGACTTGTGACAGAATGGTTTGATGAACTGTTGAACATCTCCCATGGCCTGCACAGTCACCAGATATGAATCTTTTTGAGCCACTTTGGGGTATTTTGGAGGAGCCAGTCAGAAAACATTTTCCTCCACCAGCATCACATAGTGTCCTGGCCCATGGTCATTCCCAAGATGCATTGATGCTGTATTGGCCGCAAAAGGAGGCCCTACACCATACTAATATATTACTGTGGTCTAATGCAGGTGTTTCAGTTTTTATTGTTCAACACCTGTATATATGTATGCATATATATATATATATATGTATAAAACATACAAAAACTATTTTTTTTGTTTCATCTGTCCATAGAACCCGTTCCAAGTTCCAGTAGTGTCAGTTACTTTTCAAACGTTCTATGGACAGATGAAACAAAACAAAAATGAGCTTTTTTGGCAGCAAACCCTTAAGATGGGTTTGGTTCATACAGGGATAAAAATGTACCCCATATGTAAAATGAAATACTCTGCTGTATCTTTAATGCTGTGGGTCTAATTTTCTGCCAGAGGTCCTGGACATCTTGTTCAGATACATGGCATCATGGATTCGATCAAATACCAACAGATAAAAAAATCAAAACCTGACAGCCTCTGCTTGAAATCTTATAATGGGCCGTGGTTGGATCTTCCAACAGGACAGTGATCCAAAAACAAACATCAAAATCAAAACAGAAATGGGTCACTGAGCACAAAACCAAGCATCTGCAATGGCCATCCCAGTCCCTGACCTGAACCCTATAGAAAATGAGTCGGCTGAACTGAAGAGAAGCAGCGCCGACATGGATCTGGGAATCTGAATAATCTGGAGAGATTCTGTATGGAGGAATGGTCTCTGGTCTCTGGTCTCTTGTCAGGTGTTCTCCAAACTCATCCGGCATTATAGGAGAAGACTCAGAGCTGTTATCTTGGAAAAAGGAGGTTGCAAAAAGTATTTAATAAAAGGGGGCAAATAATTGTTCCCAATGTGTTTTGGAGAAAAACATTTATTTCATAATGTGATTTTCCCCCCACTTTCAATTCTTTTACTTCAATAAAAGGTTAGATTTTTAAAAAATAAAATTTCAAAAGGATAAACAATGCAGATTTTTTTTTTTTACAGCCATCTTTGATCATATTTACCAAGGGGGCAAATAATTCTGACCAGTACTGTATTTCTACATATATACTGTCATTGTACTGCTGTCCACTTCAGCTCAGAACAATGTATTTATTGATTATAAATGCACATGTCTAGCAAATTATTAATTTCTATAATGAAAATCTAACTAAAACCTTTGTGAACAGTTTTAACAGATTGCATACAGTGCTGTGGATCTAATGGGACATGTTTAAATAAAACCGTTGCATTTTGACAAGTGACATCTACTGGTTAAAAGGAGAACACAACAGTGCAAGTATATAATTATAATGATTTATTATCTTCAGTTTTTTTCAGTACTAAGCAGTTACATTAACGTTAACTTTACTTCAAAGCTCACCACAACATAAAAGAGAAAAATATATAACAATAGAATTATATCTATTACCTTTGTAGTGCAATATGATTATATAAAGAGCTTCAAACAAATGCTTGATAAAAGAAACATCTGACCAAACAAAAATAAAGGGCCGTATTAGCATTAGACTTCCTTCATAACCCGTGCTTGTATGAGCAGCTTGCATGAACATAAACTTAAAAGAAATTACAATTTTAGAAAAGAAAATACACTCTTAACAAAATTAATTAGGCTTCAGTCATACTTTAGAAATATTTTTTAAATACTCTGTAAAATAAGAGTATTTAATTAAACGGGAAAAATTCCAAAGCTAGAAAAAAGCAATTACAATATTTTATATTCTCTTCATTTTAGCCCTTTTTGAAAATGTTATGCTCTTTAAAATAAAAGGCACATTTATTCAACATTTTTCAAATGTTTAAAGGTGAACATCCTAACTTGTTTTTATGACAGTACAGAAACCCGCAGCGATGTTTCTAATATGAATAACAATAAGTAATGATAGGAAGACATGCAAACCTCACTCAGAGAGAGAGATGGGATAGTGAGCAAACATACCGTAAGGCTGTACCAACCAAAGTTTACAGTACATGAAAAAGATGTAATGTAATAATCAAATATTTCTCAGACATTACAACTAATTAACTCAAACATTCAATGCTTTATACAGTATGTGAACATGAAACCACATACCAGAAGTGCCATTTATAAGAAGCTATATATGTAGATACAGTTCCATGTTTTCAAATCAGCTCTAGTAATAATTGAAGTTCAACTCCAGGAGGTATCGGATGCGACACTGGCTTTCCTTGTAGATGAGATACTCACTGTTATAGAAGGAACTTCCTTCGTACTGCTGCTGTTTTACGGCTTTCCCCTGAGGAACTGCCACCTTTTTACCATCAAACTCAATGAAGACATTTTTCGAGGGATCTGAAGAAAAGAAAAAAAAACTGAGACTGAAATTGCTAAGACCTAATGTTATGCAGATTTTAACAAAAAATGTACAAGTCTATAAAGATAAATGAGTAATGAGTTTGGATTTTATTTGGAAAAACCTGGTTCTTGGCTTCCGCGTGCAATTACGCTGTCATAGCCAGCGGGGGGCTTCCTTAAACTGGAATCATCCTGCGTAATGGTGTACTCTTTTCCCAAAGCAACTTCATTTAGAAACATGATGCCGATGTTGTTGGATGGATGCACTGCAAACACAATGAAGAACTTAAGAAAAATTATTTTAGAGATAAAAAGTGCCTAATTATGTCTACGACAATTTTTCCTGGAAATGGAGGGAACGCAGGGAAATAATTACTAAAAGGTAAGGCTGGGCGATATGGCCTAAAAAAAAATCCCAGATTTTTTCACAAAAAATCCGAATTTCGATTTAAGTAGATTTTTTCCCCCCCTACTTACAATCAATCTGCAGATGCCAAAGAAATTCTTCAAAACAAGTTTTAACTTTATTTTGTTTTGATATTCCTTTCTGGGATTTGATCTGGATTTCCCCCTTGGGGTTAAAGTGCAATCAGAAACAACAAGCCAAAAAGACAAGATGGCAGGCCCTGCCTTTGTAAACAGTGAAAATGTAACATAACATAACGTAACATAACATACAATGATTGGATTGGGATTGGGAGGGGGATGTAAAAAATAAAATAAGTGTATTGTGATTGTCAAAACATTTGGTAACTAAACAGAATTTTATTAAGTTTAGTGACAACACAATGTTTACATGGTACAATGACTGGCATGCTACTGTTTATATTATTGCTCAACACAAATTTCACAATTTCAATTCAATTCTTGTGATTTGATTCTAATCTTGATTCAATATCGATTCCAGTTTGGATAAATATTAGGGACAGTAGATACGTTAATGTGTTATGTTAATTTTTCACCAAAAATATATATATATATCTTCTCAGCTAATGCTGTAAACATACAGAGCCCTGTCAGCTGGTATTATTATTAAAGGTTAAAAATAACATCTCAAATCAAATATAATGCGTTTTTTATAATAACAGCGTTATAATATTTTAATGATATATGTAGGTAAAAATATAATAAATATGTAATATAGTTTAGTCATATTTAGCAAAATACTCCTCTCTATAGCAATTTTTTTAAGTCTAACTAACGTGCTATGGTCATTATGGCTTTCCTGATGTAAATGTAGCGTTACGTGACTGTTCTCCAGCTGTTTTATGGACAGCTTTCCGTGGTTAAAAAACACTCATCGATCAATTTTATTACATTTCGGTAAGTTGAACTGTATCTTTCAAATGACCTATTGATCATTCGTGTTTATTTACTATTAAGAGTAACAGATGATAGGTTCACGTGCCGCTTGAACTGAGATCTCTGTCACGTCACATTTACAAGCGCCAAAACGGTGTTAATTGTTTGAATTTCGTAATTAAATTGTCAGAATCTGAGAGCTGAGAATTTGTTTCATAACAATAGTAACCTTCTCTGTCTTGTCTGTCGGTGTCAGTGTCCTCTTTGCTTCGCGATTTTTCTCAGCGTGAGAAAATGGATGTGTGGCGTGAGAGCGTGTAAAAAGTGACAATTGCGTGAGTCTCACGGTGAATTCGTGAGAGTTGGCAGCCCTAAGGATTCAGTTTGTAAATGTTTTTGGCTGGTGTGCTTGTGCTGCCGCAGTCTTGTCCATTTGCCATGTTGTTTGTGTATCCCTATGGCAAACGTTGAGCCCGTTCGGAACTACGGGAGCTCAGAGGGCAGCGTCGGCGGATGTTAAAGAGAAAACCGATTTTCATTCAAACAAGTCGACGTAAACTACACTTTCGAGTTAATCGATAAAATCGATTTATCGCCCAGCCATTCTACAAGCAACCCTTGCCATTGTGTTGCCATGTTGTATCTAATCAAACTTTATGTGTGTTTATATTGTTCTTTTATACTGATGCAAAGAAGGTCCTGTTTCTCACCATAGCTAGCAGATTTGTTGTTTTCAGAGGCAAAATAGATTCCCCTGCCCACACGTCCACCAGAATGGGGCATAATACGAAGTCCACCCTTCAGAATGGCTGCAACCACAGCCACGCTTGTTCCATGCCAAAGCAGCTTCCGGTTCTCCAATGCATCATTTTCCCTGAAGCGCTCAGCCTACACAAGCAAATGCAAACATGCACGCACATACACAGGATTTAATTAGGATAATAAGACTCAGTAATGAACAGAATTCAACACCCACTGAGGCCGAGTGCTCACTGCTGGTTTAAAATGAAATTAGGAATCTAATGGGAACCTAACAGGAGTTCTAATGGAAAAAATTACTGTGCATTTGCACTTTTTTGACATTTACTGTTACGAGTTTACGGTTTACTTTTATCGTTTACTGCTTACTATGCATAAACTTTTAAAGGTGCAATGTGTAACATTTTTGAGTATCTATTAACAGAAATGCAATATGACATCCATAACTATGTGTTCAGTGGTGTATAAAGAACTTACTTAATAAACCGTAATGTTTTTATTACCTTAGAATGAGGCATTTATATCTACATAGGCGCGGGAATCCCCTTCTATGAAGGTCGCCATATTGTGATGTCATGTTTCTACAGTAGCCGAACGCGAACAAACAGCGCTACAGAGCGCGTTTCGTCACTACCTTGAAAGAGAAGCCGCAGGAAGCTAGAAGAAGCTAGTCATAAACACCGTGAGTAGTGACTTTTCCCTTGTCAGTGGTGTAAATATGTAGTTGGATTGTTTCATGTAACTTAATTCTTCTCCCTCGCTGTGTTATGGCTTTGCTATGTGGGGATAAATGTGCTGGTTAAGTTCGTGAGACAGCTGATTAGTAGGCTACTCTTGTCATTGACCGTAAAACAGTTACAGGAATCACCAACCCGTCGATCTTGGAAGCATTTTAAGTCGATCGAGTTTCCAAAATCAGAGAAAAAAAGCCTATTGTGTGTAGTAAATGGTGTCTAGGAGATGCGGAGGCGCGCGCGCTGTTACAATCACGTCATTTTTGCCACACGCACCTTTGGGCTCATGCGGACGCGTCGAGTTTAAACAAGGCTTTACGCTTTAACGAGCTCAGCCACAGTAACAGCTCATATTAGCCAGCTAAACTTTTACTACCCTGTTAGAAAAAATATATAGTTGCATAGTTTCATGTGGTTCTTCTCCCTCGCTGTGGTTCTTCTCCCTCGCTGTATTATGGGTTTGCTATGTGGGGAGAATGTGCTGGTTACGTTCGTGAGACAATCAGCTGATTACTATTATTATATTATGTATTAAGACCATTGATCCTCACCTGAAACTTTATCCATGATGTGGTTTATAATGGACTGTGGTACAGAAACTTGGTTTACGCTGGCTATTCTCTGCTGTCTCAGACGACGATGTTTGTCCCGTTTTAGCCACCGTAGCTTCTTCGAAAGGGAGGGGTGAGCGGTGGGCTGAGCCCTTAGTGTAAACTCGCAACCGAACCGCTAGATCTCGCTAAAAATCACACACTGCACCTTTAACTTAAATTACGCAATACTATTCACCTCTGTATCTCTGTCAACTTCCCAGACGTCCACTAAAGTGAGTCCTTCGCGTCCAGTGGCATTCAAGTACTTCTCAATTATCTTACATACAAAAAAGAGAGAGAGAAAAGAACTTCTGAGCATACTGCACTTTTTTCAATCCATTTCTTTCTATACATGAATTTCTTTTATCAAGCTTCGTAAATGTCCATAATTGAACTCATAACTTAAAGACTTAAAAAAGCAAAGGTTAAATAATATAAAATCATTCATTATGTTTTTAATATATGTTCATGAAAATCTGGGGATTTTCATTTAAATCTGGAAATTCGGCATTTTAAAAAAATGTTTAAAAGTTGACATTTACAATACATTTCAATATTTACAATTTTGCTATTATAATATTTCTAGGTCATATTCTTCTTAAGTAAGACATTCTGACAAAAAATGTCAGTGTTATGCTGATAATAAACACTGCATCATTTATTATTTTAAAAGTATGATTACCAGATTTAAATTAGATTTTTAATTCCTGATTTCCAATGTGGACTATAAATGTTGCTGTGCATTGAAACCTTATATTCCTTTGATTTCTTATCCAGCAAACTTAGCTTGCATTTCAGAGACTGGAAATTTTGGTCAACTGGATGAGGCACCACATCCTTCATTTCTTCTGTGGCTTTCTCAGATTCAGCTTTAAGACTCTGGGCAACCTCGATGTCTGCAAGAACCTACAAGATACAAGCAAAAGAAAGTTTGGATTTTGGTCACTCTTATCGAGATGGCAAAGCACTCTATATTGGCCATTAAAAACACACACAAGATCAATGTTTATTTTTGAAGCCAAACATTGTATGATTTAACAAATAAACCTATTCTGAGAAATATTCACATTAAAAAGTGTGACAACTAGCCCCTATTTCATGAAACCGAAACATTCTCAGTGCACAGTAACTGCTATGTATCTCACCAAAAGCATCTCCTTCTTTCCCTGAAGAACAGAATCATCAGAGATGATAGGGGGTCTGTTGCGGCCAAAGTTATGAGGAATAATGGTGAAGAATTTGTTGGTGAGTTCTTCTAACTTGTTCCGTTCCCCCTTCTTTATTGCGGCTTCAATCTCCTCCAAAGCCTCAAAGCCTTTGGCTATCTGCTGCTTGCTGAGTTTCCCCAAAGGCATCTTCTTAATGTCTGACAGAGAAATATGTGACACGTGAAACTCCTTCACAAAAAATGGATCGTATCCATCTCCGTCTTACAGATGGAGCTCAGAAAAGTGGTAGATAGGGCTCAAATAGGCCAAACCCCCCTGTGGCTTTCAGAAAGACAATGATCACTCAGGGAAATGAATCAATGAAATTTCATTGAGTTTTTAAAATATTACTTATTTTTCCCAACTATCAAAAACAAGTTATAAAAGAACCACAGTAACATGGCTATTGAAAGGAACAGAAGAACTGGGACTTACAGTGCCCCTATTATGCTTCCTCAGATATTAAAGCTCCAGTCCGTAACTTTTTTAAGTTAAAAATAATCCAAAATAATTATATAAAAAAAAAACGTATTTTGCCAGTGGTCAAAACTATCTGCTTGCCATAGCTAGATTCAAAACGGTTAGCTTGTAATAATGATTTTAATTCCAGTGGTACTGGTGGGTTTCCGCGGGAAATTCGAGCATGTCTTTGCGTCATTACGTCACACCCGTACACATAAAGAAGGAGTTTCGGCTAGCCGGCTATACTGCGCGTGACGAGATGTTTAGATGTATAGGCTTTTCTCGCAGCACTTTACATAATTAAACTTATGGCATCCAGAAATATCCAAACAACAATCATCAGTGTCAACTGGAGATTCAGCAGTTATAAAACCCAAAAGACTGCGTACTTCGGATTTAAGGTGGCTAGAGAAAAAGAAAGAAACCGTCTCATGCGAACACAAGGATTTAAACATCGGCGGGGCTTTTGAAAAGTGCGTGAACTCCGTGTTTTGAAGGGGTTCAAAACGGAAGAAGAGACGGCTTTTTTCTGCTGAACAAGTAAGACACGTAAGTACGTTTTCTTAATTCACACAGTTATGGAGTTTCCTTTGTTGTGCCTTTCTCGTTTTGCTATTATGGAGAATATGAATTCTGAACTACGCAGGTAGCTGCTAACCATAAAACACATTAAATTTAACATTAGTCACGCAATGCTGATGTTGTTAACATGAACAATTTGAGAACAAAGTAGGCTATAATTTGCACGGTTGCTGTAAATCGCGTTGATTAAAGACGAAGCTTATCATGTCGAATGCTTTTTCCCCCTTAGTTGGTCAGAACAAAAATGGATTTTACTTACTTGTTCAGAAGACATTTTCTTATGAAAATTCTTATGTTGGTCAAACTTTCAAAAAGTGAATCTGTGATTCTGTATGACAGTATCCACACAGCGCGGTGACTGACAGCAGCACTCGCCTCAAAGCACTGTGTTCATCCGCGCTGTTTTCATGCCGATTTACAACCCACGTAAAGATAATAATTCCGCGAATCACTGCAGTTACAGATTTCGAACAGAGAGATGGCGACAAAGAGGAAAAGATACGGACTGCAGCTTTAACTTAAATGTAGTGTGTAATTCAGCTGTCTGTGAATGTAAAAGGTGTGCAAAGCTTCAAAGATCAAAGTGCACAACAAATTGAGTTATTGTATCCCCCCCAAAAAAGCAGATTTTGAACTGCCTGAAATGAGTCCTCAGCAATTCCAATATTACTTCCTGCACAAACCTACGTAGTTTTGTATAAAATTTGCATAAAATTTAGCGAGGCCGAATCTTTGATCGAACCGTTTCAGACACTGTGAGAAAAGAAGTGATGCTACAATGAGAAAATTAAAGACCTTGGATGCATGTAAACCTATTGTTGGAGTCCTCAAAAACAAAAAGGAACTTTTAAAATAGCATAATAGGGGACTTTAAGGCCATGTGTCCACCAAAGCTATATGGGGAGGCTGCAGACCTGGAGCCGGCAGATATACGCCCCTGGCAGTTTTACGCCCCTGACAGTTTTACGCCCCTGTTGTTCCTGATGCGTCCAGTAGGGGGATATACTGCGAAATAACATATAAATCGACTCTTACACATTAATAACCCGTCCATAGACATTTTTTGTGTGTTTTGTTCATTTAAATATAAACGTTACAGTGTAGATCTGCACGGATTAAAATGTCTGTAGCTATTCAGTTGGGCTTAACTCTCTTCACTCAGCCTACAGAAGACAAGCCTATGTGTTTTTGTGAATTGAACATTTAAAAATACACAATTGGATCAACTATGTTATGACAAGTATATGACCTACTGCAGTTATAGGCCTATTCACCGTAGGTTGTTATATGGAAGACTGAGTGAAATATGTTGTTGTGAATTTATAGTTACATTTAGATATTAACCAAATTTAGCCCATTAGACATCCAGTACCGTGTAATTAGGGCTGGGCGATAAAACGATAACGATAATTATCGCGATATAATTTTTCTCGATAAAACGATATTAAGAGGTCGATAAATGTTCGATAATGTTTATGCGCCAAAAGCGGAACGAAACTCATTTGAACCGCGCGCGCCTCACGGACCGTTTATCCGCTCGGCTCAAAGTCCAAACGGCAGCGCGAGCGGGAGGCGATATTTTTTTTCACAGGATGATAGGGGAAGACTCATGAATATTCATTAGGGAACTCATCCCTGATTGGACTGATGACCTACCCCCTAACCCCGCCCCTAAACCTACCCGTCACTGGGGGTCTGATGACCTACCCCTAACCCCGCCCCTAAACCTACCCGTCACTGGGGTTAAGACCAATCAGGGATGAGTTCCCTAATGAATATTCATGAGTCTTCCCCTACCATCCTGTGAAAAAAAATATCGCGAGCGGGAGCTCACTAGACTAGAGCAGAGCAGACGCGTTTACTCTGATCGTCTCGCTCACGAGATCCAGTGAGAGAAGCGCTTGAGTTCAGCGAAAAACACAAATGTTTAAAGGCATATGAAACACCGCTGACAAACAGGAGAAACACTGCGCGCAACGATACAGTCAGAATGTGAATTGATACTGAATCCATTTAGCCTACCATGGATTTACTGTAAGGTTAGCCTAGTAATATTAACTGCACCATGAAATGTGGCATATACATATTGAATTGTATAATATTATTAAAGGTGCTCTAAGCGATGTCATGTGTTTTTTAGGTCAAAACATTTTTTGTCACATACAGCAAACATCTCCTCACTATCCGCTGGCTGCCTGTCCCCTGAACACACTGTAAAGAAACGCGATCTCTGTAGACAGCCCATGCTTCACAAACAGCACCAAAAACAAACTGCAGCGACCCGCTCCCCAAAACATAACAAACTGTTCCAGCCAATGACCGACAAGAAGGGTTTGGGGGTGTGGTTTGGGGGGTTAGTGTGCGGATGAGGAGGAGGGAGGGTCTAGCTAGCCTCCGTTTTGTTTGACAATAGTTCGAACGTCAACAAGAAGTGACGTCACCCAGGATCGCTTAGAGAACCTTTAATGTAGACAATGTATTAAATGACTAATGGAATATAATTATAGTATTTAATAATGTATTTAACTGTTAGGCTACTGTTTTTCATACAAATACCATAGAAATCATAAAGTTACATTTTGCCATGATAGTGAGGTGCTATAAGTTAGGCTTTGCCTGGTTTTATCTGTGGTTATCATGATCTAAATGCATGATACTGGATGACCAATGGTTAATTTTAATAAAACTCAAACAGTCAGAATATTACATTTTACCAAATTAAACAGATGTTACTGTTTTTGTTAATGAACATAAATTTAAAAGAGTAGTATTAGCTTGAGTTAGGATGCAGATTTACTGTCAACTCACTGTCAAATATGCATTTCGAGACAAAACATGTAATTTGAATATTGCAGCCTGCACTGCAAACTGCTAAAGAAATATTTTTATATTCAGATATTAATTTTGTTAAGGAAAAATTACAAATATTTGAATGTTCTACCTCAGATTTGTGAAATGTTCACCTGTTTGGCAAGTGTTTGTCATGATATGTTCTGGCAATAAAGAGTTAAAACCACAATTAACGCTCTGGTTTATACAACTTTCACTTAGGAGCAAAAATCTGCCTTTAAACTTGAAAGAAATAAAGATTTGACATTTATCGTGATAATTATCGATATCGACTGATATAAAAAAAATATCGTGATAATTTTTTTGGGCCATATCGCCCAGACCTACGTGTAATCATATGGATCCTTGATTAGCTGTACTATTCTCTATTGGTCGTCATACAGCTACAAAACAGTGTCATACACAGCATTTTATGAAGACAAACACAATGTATCCCTTTTCTAAAATTCCATGACTCCCCTATGGTTTGCCCCTCTTCTTTAACTATTTTTTAAAAGGATATCCATGGTGATTTTATCGTGTGTGTGTGTGTGCAGAATTGATGTCAGGTGTGTGTGGATTGCATCAATTTGCTCCTGATCTTCAATGTACAACGGCACACTTGTTGGTGGAACAATAGTGAAAAAAGTGTCAAGCCACTTTAATTTCTTTTGGCCACCAATGATGGACTGTGCAGAGAAAATTGAAAATTACATTAAAACCACGTCCATGTATGTCTCTGTAAGTTTATTTTGTAAGTCGTAAAAAAAAGATGGGTGTTTAAGTTTAGAGAGAGATTTTCATTTTCTTATAGCTAAAGCAAACACACCTTTATGAGATGCAAGTTAAAAAGAATTTGGTAAAGACAGAGTATGATAAAACCCACATTAAGTGCACATACCCTACATTTTAGTCCGTAAGCTATTTTAAGAAATGATGTTGGAAATAATCAAAATATTTGAGTGAGTGTGCAGTTCAACTCTTTACTTGAGATTTACATACATGTATACAATATGCCTATTATAAATGTGTCTTTTGTGTGTTCACACCATAGACTGTAAAAAAGCAAGTTCATATATTTCCAATATCTACTGTAATGTTGCCCCAGAAACCATGTGGAGTATGTTTTAATGTAAGGAGTAAACAGGGTCTTAACAGAAGAGGCCATCTCACGCAAGCTAAAGACAGGCAACAAAAGAAAATTAAAAAGAAAATGAATTTTAAAGTGAGAAGACTAGGGGCAGCTAAACCTACACGTGGTTAGCTAAGTTTAAGCCAGATAGAACATAAACCTGACCATCAAGAACTTTTTGTCTTTCGAAATAAATTATAGACCCATCCATTGATATAGAAATGAATTGATATCTAGGCTACCTATACCAATAATCGTTTATAAATAATAGGCTAAATGTTGCATCATTGCTAAACAACAATAACTTTAGCAGATTATTTAACTTTTTTGTCAGATTTTCATTCTAACGATAAAAATCTTGATTATAATTATTACTTTGTCTTCTGGGCAAGATTCATCTTCATAAAGACAGAACCATTCAATGATCCTGATTTAAGAATATTCTCCTCTGATATAAAGTCCCCTTTTTCTTCTTTTAAGAAAATATCAAAACCTTTAAACTCAAAGGTTTCTAAAATAAATAATATCATTGAGTCTGTTGTAAACCTTTCATTTTTTATGACAAAATGTAAAATTGTATTGATTTGTGTAGCCTCAATCTCTTTTGATGTCCCCCTTTGTTATTTTTTCTCTTTCTCACTGTTAATGTCTTGTCTCCTTTCATTTGCAACACAAAATAAATAAATTTCTTAATTTAAAAAAAAGAAAGAAGATTATTTACTAACATAACTCAATTCGTGTCGCTGTACAGCCTCCCCCTACTGGACGCGTCAGGAACAACAGGGGCGTAAAACTGTCAGGGGCGTAAAACTGCCAGGGGCGTATATATCTGCCGGCTCCAGGTCTGCAGCCTCCCCTTACTCCACCAAAGTGCTTTATTTTTCCAATTGTTTTTAATGGGAGCGGCGTGTTTTTAAAACACCAGGAGCGTAGCAAGGCACTGAGCGTCTATTTCACGCTGAATCGCTCTGCATTTTTTTACCGGATGCCGAGAGTTGAAGAACGTTCAACTTTGGGTACACAGCGCTCATCACTGTCACTTTTTACCCAGCCGTCCAATCACAGTGGAGGAGGGGCGGGACAAAAACAACACCGACCAATGTCAACAGATGACAAAAACAAGCATAATAGAAAAAAAATATTTAAAACGAGAGCCAGAGCAAATACTTCACATTGTATCAACATTTTTATATAGAAACAATACCGAAAAGAACTATCTGTAAAAATTAGATTCTATAAAATGAGATATTTTGTATCATAGCAGGCAAAGCGTCTAAAGCCTAGTTCACACTACATGATTTTAAAACGTCGGGCTGAACTGTACGGTTCACACTACATGACTTGCTCTCTGTGAAATCAGGAGTGTTCAAGTTGTTGAGCTAGTTCACACCACACGACACAACGTGATTGATCCGCAACAGGAGGTAACGCACTACACGAGTTGACAACAACTCTGTCACCCAACGATTCTATCTTGTCTACAAACCACGTTTTGTCACGAAAAATCACGCGATAAAACGAACCGGAAATGACGTGAAACAGCACGCGCGCCAATACCCGGTGACCTCAACCCATGCCTTGCTCTGATTGGCTGTAGCTCATGACATCACGTGAGGTTGAGTCGTGCGACAGCTCTGGATATCTAGCATGCTAGATATTTTTCTGGGCTCGGCGACGCATCTGCGAGGCGTCTGCGAGCGTCTTTGATGCGTTGTTGGCTCTTTCATACTAACAGATTGGCGAGCGTTCATCGCCCACTAATCCCCCGCGATTTGCTCGCGATAACACCCTGACCTGTCGGCGACCTCAACGATTTGCAAATCGGGCTTAAATCGGGCTTAAAATCATGTAGTGTGAACTAGGCTTTAATGAGAAAAAACGCTCCACTGTCGAAGCGCTCTCAAGTTTGCATAAAATTTAGAGAGGCCGAATCTTTGATCGAACCGTTTCAGACACTGTGAGAAAAGAGGTGATGCTGCAATGAGAAAATTAAAGACCTTGGATGCGTGTTTTTAAAACAATTTGAAACAATTTTTTCTATTATGCTTGTTTTTGTCATCTGTTGACATTGGTCGGTGTTGTTTTTGTCCCACCCCTCCTCCACTGTAATTGGACGGCTGGGTAAAAAGTGACAGTGATGAGCGCTGTGTACCCAAAGTTGAACGTTCTTCAACTCTCGGCATCCGGTAAAAAAATGCAGAGCGATTCAGCGTGAAATAGACGCTCAGTGCCTTGCTACGCTCCTGGTGTTTTAAAAACACGCCGCTCCCATTAAAAACAATTGGAAAAATAAAGCAATTTGGTGGACACATGGCCTTAAAGTCCCCTATTATGCTATTTTAAAAGTTCCTTTTTGTTTTTGAGGACTCCAACAATAGGTTTACATGCATCCAAGGTCTTTAATTTTCTCATTGCAGCATCACCTCTTTTCTCACAGTGTCTGAAACGGTTCGATCAAAGATTCGGCCTCTCTAAATTTTATGCAAATTTTATACAGTCGAAGCGCTCTCAAGCACCCACAGCTAAGTTTTCAGCTGGCTAAAAACGCTTTGGTGGACACACGGCCTAATGATTCAAGGCTATATCCCAATAAACTAACCCAGGTTCATGCTGGACATGGCTTCTTTGAACATGTCATTGTCGAAGATGAATCGGATGAGCCTTTGAGTTGCCTCATCCAACGCACAAGGCAGAACGTGTTGTTCGCTTTTCACCTTCACATCTCCACCGTCTACAGTATCCACCTGCAAGAAACACAAAACATTAGAAACTGTCAAATGTGTTAGTCTTTGGACAATAACAAGGACATAGCTTCAATTAAGGGTGTAATAAAGTAAATTCATTAAATGCTGCAAAAACTGATGAACAAGCTAAATTACCTTCACTTCTGCATCCTGGTCCCCATCTACCTCTATCAATGTGTACTTCCCAGAATGCGAGACAAAGTTTTCTCGATCGCTCCAGTTATTCTTGGTCTTATCTTTGAATTTCTTTTCGAAACACTTAACGGCTGCATCAGCGGTAGATGGACCAGCTAAATTGTTTTGGCCTGACTCTCCCTGAAAACAGTGAAAGACAGGAAAAGTACGTCATCCATTAGAAGCTACAAGAGCATTTATACACATTATGTTGTGACATATTTGATGGACAAAAAAAAAGAGAAAGCAACGTACCACTCTGCCCCATCTTGTCCAGCAATAGTACTTCCCTCCAGACACTAAGACTTGGGTTACATAGAATTTGTTGTTGTTGTTTCCTATGTTAGTTTGGTTTAGCATGCAGTCGTAATCTTCATGAACCTGTTGGTCAGGATCATACAAGATTTTTTTCTGTGATTCAGGGCAAGCAATAATTTGCACGTTCAACTGAAAACTCATAATTCTCAATGAACCAAAGACATCAATGGTAGTTTAAACATGGTCAATTGTTTAACCACTTCTTCGGTCTCACCTCAGCATTTGATAGATGACAGAAGCTGTCAGGGTTCCTCATGGCCTTCACCACCGATCCTGTTGCCTTCAGGGCCTCTTTGGCAGAGGTGAACTTGTCCTTTGGTGGAGCTTCAGGCTCCTCCTTTACCTTCTTCCCTCCAGCTTTGGTGCTTGATGTTGCCCTTCTCTTAGGTGCCATCCTCTTTCCTCTCTGTTCATAATCATATGATGTTTTAAATATAGTATATAAACATTCAATAAACAACTGATCAGCAGTTATGGAGTCAGTTAGGTAAGACATACTACAGCATGCGTTACTTAAAGGGTTAGTTCACCCAAAAATGAAAATTCTGTCAGTAATTACTCACCCTCATGTTGTCCCAACCCCGTAAGACCTTCGTTCATCTTCGGAACACGAATTAAGATATTTTTGATGAAATCTGAGAGCTGGATCACTCCTCCATACTAGTCCATAGGCTTCTTCAGGGATTGAACTTGCCGGCCTCGAAAAGTTATTAAAGACATCGTTAAAATAGTCCAAGTGACTACAGTGGCTCAATCTTAAGTTTATCAAGTGACGAGAATACTTTTTGTGCGCAAAAAAAACGACTTTATTTCAACTATTAATTTCCTTCTCTGTGGGCCTCGAGTCAGTTCACTAGTGTAATAGCGTAAGCTTCTGTTGTTGTACGTCACACGCATCATGCACATGACCAGCGTCGGCCAATAGTGAGCCTACGTGTGACGTAGCTCTACGGAATCACACTACGTTAACTGACTACAGGCCCAAAGAGAAGGAAATGAATAGTTGAAATAAAGTCGTTATTTTAGTTTTTTTTGCGCACAAAAAGTATTCTCGTCGCTTGATAAACTTAAGATTGAGCCACTGTAGTCACTTGGACTATTTTAACGATGTCTTTAATAACTTTTCGAGGCCGGCAAGTTCAATCCCTACAGAAGCCTATGGACTAGTATGGAGGAGTGATCCAGCTCTCAGATTTCATCAAAAATATCGTAATTCGTGTTCCGAAGATGAACGAAGGTCTTACGGGGTTGGAACAACATGAGGGTGAGTAAATACTGACAGAATTTTCATTTTTGGGTGAACTATCCCTTTAATACATTTAAAATTCATTTTAAAATTATTTTAGTTTACTTTTATCACAATTAATTTAAAATATAGGTGAATTTATTTTACCTTTGAGAAATGTGCCACGTGTAACTTCTATAACATGGACAGTTGGACACCTGACAATTTAAGAAAATATACCAGATGTTTCTTTATTTATTGTTATATGTAATCACCATTTTTCAACACACTGTTTAGAAATGGTATGACATCAAATGTTTAAATATGGTAAACAATAAATCAACACAGTCCTGCAGCTACTGCTGAGACATGTGCGGGCATGCTGGAGTTTACTGTAAGTGACGTAGATCTTCATGGCAGCCTATCAGAGGCACTGGAAATGGGTTCATAGAAATTAAGGGGTGCGTCTAGTCAACAATGAGTAACAAATAAACATAATGTGAAATCGCAAGTGTTCAGAAACGCGGCGAGCAATTATGGCGTTAACGCAACCCTTGCGGCGGCTGCTAAAACGTGTGTGTTTAGACGCACACACCACCTGCAGCGCTATAGCTGTAGCAATTCTTACATAGCAATAGAACTGTTAAAATTTATTTGAGATTTTATTATTAGTCAGATAGAATGATACTTACCTGCAAGTGGGGGTGCTGAGAAAGTTTGCAGATTCACTCTCACACTTCGGGACCACTGTTTCGGGCATAGACTGTCTTCAGCCTGACTTCCGTGTTTCTGACACTTTACGTCACACCCCTTCCCTCACATAGGCTATCATTGTTTTTAGATATATTTTTATTTTGAATAACACAAAGTTGCACGTTCTTGTGTATCTTAAAAGGGACATCCTGCTAAAACAAAATGATTTTATTTTTATTTTATTTATTTATGTTTACATTTTTTTTGTATCACATGTTGTTTCAAACACTTTAATAGCCCCACTATAACATAAATAATTTTAGACCAACATCCAACCTTTGTACTTACTAATGTAAGCTATAATGCTGGCTTTGTGCTTGAATGGAAGCAGTTACAAAAATACTCAGTTGTAAAAGTAACTTTATAAAATGAAAATCCTCCAGTGGGACCATGGACACTAGTAGGCCTAATGTTTATAAATGCTAAAAATATTAAGGCAGAAAATGACTGCAGATATAACCATCACACACACACACACACACACACACACAAAAATCTATTTCTCTTTTGTCATTTCACCACCAGTGATTGAGTGTGCAATATATCAATTACCCTGTTCGTAACATGGGTCAGTGATAGCCTGCATATGTGGACAATGGACATTGTTATTATTAAGGATGAAGGATATAAATATAAAGGATATAAAGGATATGATGTTTTGTCTATGAGACATGGTCCTTCAGTAGACTGATGTGTGTGCATTACATTTGTAGTGCAGTAATAGCAGCATTTTGTCTTTTTATTTTTCCTACTGGTTTATTTATCTTTCAACATGGTAGCTAAATGACTTTATGCGCAATGAAATTAGGAACATCATTTATTGCACTTGCAAATCACCTGTATTTTAAAAGGGTCACTCAGGGTATTGTTTTATACAGTGCAACAAATTAGCATTTAACATATAAAAGACAAATTAATATTAAAGCCCAACACTTGCTCATTTTAGTTTAACCTCACCCAATTTGATGTGATGAGCACCTACATCCTCTAGATGGGGACAATGTACAAGTTTCTGTATACCACGAACATTGCATATGAATATTGAATTCTTTTAAAGCTGATGTGTGTCATTTTCTTAATTGTACAAATGTATAATATAATATAATATAATATAATATAATATAATATAATATAATATAATATAATATAATATAATAAAGTTAAAACGACAAGGAGAGCTTGTATTCATATAAAACACATTTTATTTACATAAATTACAAGAAAGCACAAACCAGAATCACCATAAATCTACATTAAAAACATCTTGTATATAATACTTTAAACAGATTTACTATATCTTAACTCCATCTCAAACAATACTTTATTATGGTTTCCATAAAAAGAACAGGTATACAGAGTTTAAACTGGCATCCCACTGATATCATCTAACTAGTCAGAGAGAGAGAGAGAGAGAGAGAGAGAGAGAGAGAGAGAGAGAGAGAGAGAGAGAGAGAGAGAGAGAGAGAGAGAAACAAAATGGGATATTGTACTCACAGCACGTTGAGAACAACATAACAGGCATTCTTTATTCCGAATAGCCTCCTCAACATTAGCAAACACTTGATTTCATGACTAGTGAAGATAAGATTTATCTGCATACTGCATTTGGCAAACAAACAGGAATGCTGTTTCTCAGAGTGACGATGTTGTTGAGTCCACTACCTCTCTGCCATTACATACTGTAGGCACGACGTTGGAGGCCGAGGCTGTAAAGACATTTTCAATAATATAAAGATATCGTAAGTTGCAAATCACAGTGTATCACCATTGCCATTCAATGTTTTCAAGTAGGTGAATCGTATTAAACCATATTTTTATTTTATATATTATTAAAACATTGCATAAATAGAAAAAATACTAAATAGATTTTATATATTTCTTATTTATATTTGAGCTTTTTTGTCATTTTCATTGTTGATTCTCCTTATATTTTTATTACAACATATTATATAGTTTTTGTAATGCAGCAGTATCACAAATACTACCATGATGTAAATTAAATTTTTTACAATTTAAAATATATTTATTAATGTCACATGCCATTACTGAGAATGAGTAGTTTTGCATTACAGTAATGAGAGGAATTGTCTGTCATTATGCAAACAAATATTTACATCATAATGCTAAATATTATTTATTTGTCACTTGATTTTGAGGTGAAATACCCATTTTAAGGGATTCACAATGCACTGCGCTCAGGGATGTGTCAGTGCTACAGTAATATCAATGTAATCCAATAAAGCCAAATATCTGCTCTCACAGGGCCAATGATACTTTATGTTCTGCTCCAATATTACTCTGCCATCATACAGTACTGAATATTTTGATCAATATCTTTCATTTCTAATGTCAGTTATGACATTGCCAATCCATATTTTCGAATATGGGTGACATGAATTGATTAAAATGCTTGATTTAAACAACTGCTGCTGTTGATTGATTATATTGACGATGATGCTGGTATATTAAAGACAGAGATCATAAATGATACTGTACCTTGAGAGAAGCTGGAGCCAGGGCCAGTGGTCACACTGAATCGAGTGGTGGCCACTCTGAGCGTGCTGACGTTCTTCTGGGGCTGGAAGAGGATGATGTGGATCTTGGGAGCGAAGAGGCATCCCAGCACCACTGAACCACTCAGACTCACAGAGATGCACATGGTAGTGGTCTGTACCTGAGAGAGTAGACACAAAAAAGCGATTACATTTACACCGTGATATCACCTGACTGGCTTATTCATATTCAACAGGGATGTTAACATGGGATTGAACTGATTTTTCCATTGAACGCGATTCCAAAAGTGTTGCCAAAGCCTATGCGGCTAAAGATGTATCTTAAAAGGATGAATCCATGCGCAAAGCAGGTGTGTGTGCCGTGTATTGTATAAGCAATCTCATGCATACTAATACAGGTATTAGAGGCATGCATCGCCAAATAACATTTTGATGAGAGAGGGGGTGAATCAACAGGAACCGTTTCTAAGATTTTCACTGTTTTGGCTGAGATGTTTGCTTTGTATCATTGTACATTTTATTTGGCAGATACTTTTATCTAAATTGATGTGCATTCAAGCTATACATTTTTATCAGTATGTGCATTCCCTGGGTTTCAAATCCACGGCCATGCCATTGCTATCCTCTTTCAGTTGGGCAACAAATATTAAAAGCTATATAAACATTAACCTAGCATCGGAGAAACTTCATGGTTCAGCTGCACTGAATTATAGTGAATTATAATTATATTTTCCTCAATACCAAATTAACAAAGAGTACCTTATTCTTTCTTCAGTACAATAGATTTAAAAGTGTTTCTGTGAGCGCGGCAATGCGTCAGGATAAACCAAAAATGCTTTAAATAATGCAGCGTTCAGAGAGCTGTGCCTGGAAAGGTCTTGTATGCTTTCCCAGCAAGCCTGGCTCTTGTCTCCATAAACATGCACTTTTTTATATAGAATATCACACTGAATGAGACATGCTGTAGTCTAATTTTCCTCCATAATTGATCATCATTATTCTTTAACAAAATATCTCCAGAGTGAAAAACTGGTCAAACACGCAGACGAGAACCCAACAGTAAATGGAAATCTGGTTTTCAAAGAGACTCAAAAAATATTACATGGCTCTAGACTTATTTATTTCGACCAATCACGGTATTCTGTAGTTTGTTGTATATTTATAAACTACTGTTGACAAGTTTGGGGTCAGTACGTTTTTGTAATGTTTTTGAAAGTCTCTTCTGTTCACCAATGCTGCATTTATTTGACCAAACATAACAAACATAATATTGTGAAATATTATTACAATGTAAAATAGCTGTTCCCTAAATGAAAATATTTAAAAATGTAATTTATTCCTGTTGGCAAAGCTGAATGTTCAGCATCATTACTCCAGTCTTCAGTGTCCCAATATCCTTCAGAAATCATATGATGATTTGCTGCTCAAGAAACTTTTCTTATTATCAATGTTGATGCTTCATTTTTTTCCGTAATACATTTAATTCAGGAATCTTTGATAAATAGAAAGATCAGCATTTATTTTAAATATAAACCTTTTTCAACATTAATATGTCTTCTGTTACTTTTGATTTAATGCGTCCTTGCTGAATAAAAATATGAATTTCTTAAAGAAAATTGAAAGTTTATACTTTGTTTATTTCCAGGATTTTATTTTGGTTACGCATTTGTGATTTAATGTTTGATTCTGAAGATCAAATATTTATCATATAAATCTTACAAGTAGCATGTGCTTTTTCTTCTGCACATCAATGCTGTAGTTGGTGGGTGAGAAGCAGAAATTATACAACTAAAAATGATATCTGCGGGATGAATGAGGCTGTTGCATTTCCTGTGAGTGTGTGTGGGATTGTGGCGAGGTCTCGGTCTCTAAGGCGCACCTTGCTTTCTGAGAACAGGCCCCAGCTGGGAATCATTCTCCCATGCTCTAACACATCACCACACACACACACACAGGACACACACACACACACGCACACGCACAAACATATATATAAAACGCGGAAACCCTGAACAGAGAATGACATCCTGTCCAATCAGAACTCAAGGAGATTCCCTTCTCTCTCCTGAGGCCTTCTGACTTTTTTCTTTCTGTATCCTTTCGTCTAGTCTTGATGGATGATGTTAGCCTGGCATGCCAGACCTACATCAAGATGTTAGGTCTGGGAACTCATCATTGACAGGGCTCAATCTGATGGGCGGGATAAACGGTTGTCTTTCAAATTCTCTCAGCACGCAATTGGATAGCGCTACAACCAATCAGAGCAACGAAGAAGGGGACGTAGTCAGCGGAGCAAGTTGATATACCGTATTAAACTTTTACCGTATCCAGTCCATAGCTGTCAACATTGAACATTGAAAATAAGGGAGATTTCCAGGAATCCATCCCCAAAATAAGGGATTTTTTTTGTTTTTTACACGACCCACAAACTTTAAAAATAAAACACTAATCATTAAAAGTCTAAAGAGTTTATAACTAGCCTATGTGTGAGAGAGAAAGAGACAGTATGTGTGTGTGTGTGTGTGTGTGTGTGTGTGTGTGTGTGTGTGTGTGTGTGTGTGTGTGTGTGTGTGTGTGTGTGTGTGTGTGTGTGTGTGTGTGTGTGTGTGTGTGTGTGTGTGTGTGTGTGTGTGTGTGTGTGTGTGTGTGTGTGTGTGTGTGTGTGTGTGTGTGTGAGAGAATGACCGTCGCAACTCTGCCGTCATTGTGTTAAGCCCGCCCACCAACTCTATACACGATGTGATTGGCCTGACCAGTTTTTGGTTTTTCCAGCTAAAACGTCTATGGAGAGTTGCTAGACCACACTGGCAGCGAAATGATTTTTGCTGCCGCTAGGGTGCGTCTAGATTTCTAGGCTAGGATGATGTAGAACTGACCCTTACAGAAGCCCCCTACAGCCATAACATATCCTGATCATGTTTCTGTCCTCTTTTTTTGCTCACTGGAGCATCCAAATGCCATGTACAACGGCCGTTTTAACCAGCAGTGCTGGCGATATGCACCAGTGCAGTTAGACTATTCTGGATACACATATATAAAAATCATATATGGCAACTAAGTTTGTGTTGCACTGTAACTCTTTGATTGAATTTTGACCAATCAAGGTGTAATGTTACTTCCAAATGTGTGAAAATAAATAACAAAAAAAATAAAAAAAATAATAATAATAAATAACTAATATTAATAATAATTAAGAAGAAGAATTATAATAAAAAAATCAGCATTCAAAAATATTTGTTTAGAAGTTTGTGTTGCACTGTGACCCTTTAATTCACAACAGTGGAATCAGGGTCTGACGTTACTTCCAAATCACCATGGGTGATGAAATAAATAAATAAATAAATAAATAAGCATTAAAACCTTTGGAAATGATTATATTATTGTTTTTGAAAATAAACATTAGGACTTTTTCTTTTTTTCTTTTTCTTATAATAATGCATGCATCAAAGTGTTAAAACTGTAAAGAAAAAAAAAATAGTTGTCAAATGTAAGAGTGTTTAATGGCGTCTGTCCTGAGGCACTTGACTGAAGGATACTCAGACCAATTGAATAGCATGTTTTCATAGGCTAGTAATTCGCCAGGAAGAAAGATCCCCACTTTCTTTGTTCTACACTGAACAGCTTTTGAGCCACATGAAATGTGAGCTTCTCCTTTCATCAGTGCAAAAGACAGGGGATCAAAGAGATTTTTCTATCTGCCATCTGAATTGGCAGGTATGGTAACAAAAAAAATCAATCAGGCAAACTCTCAGTCTCGCGCTCTCAGGGAAATTGTATATATGCTAAAAATAAAGGATAAAGTCAGTGTCGGGAAGTGATTAAGGGTTATAAGAGAAGCTCATTATCTAAATGTTGAAAAATATTCCATGCTGTCATTGTGTGTGCAGTGTGATTTGAGACAGCCCCTCTGATATCTTTTCCCAGAGGAGAGCCGGTAATATCCCCCCGGCACAAGATTTACTTCTCAAAGAAATCACATTGTTATACAGAACACTCAAGCACGGCATTCATTAACAATATGTCAGAACTTCAGAAGACTATAGCATTGCCAAATCTCAACTATGTTGAGCATAAATTACATTTAAAGATATGTTCAGAGAAACTATACTATGTAAACTATGTAAAATTATATTGTGGTCCTCACATACAAGATTAAAAACCATACCTGTATACCACTATATCTGTACCACTCGTTCTTGCAATTAAAAAAAGAAAAAAATCTAAATGATTTCGCATAATTCAAAGTCAACTAACAATCATTCATTCATTTGTTCATTTGTTCATTCGTTCATTCGTTTGTTCATTCGTTCATTCATTCATTTTTGTTTTTGCTACTGGTCCTGGTCTTATTTTGCACAATTCATCAGAGCACTTTCCAAACATGTACACATTCAAAAGATTGTTAAGATGTTCAGATAGCTGTTGAAAATGCAAAGATTGTGCTAATGCAAGTGACAAGTAATATCTTACTTGTTTATTAAATTGGCATGTTAAATAACATTTACATTTAGCATGTGCTACGTATGCGAGTTGTGGGTTGAACTGAAATAAATAAGATTACAAATCAAGTACTTGGATTCAACTTAAAATTTTGTGTTTTTGTTACAAATTATTAAGTTCCTCTAATTCAATGTAGTTTTTTTGGTTGAATATATGGTTGAATTGTAATAACTCAAAAAGATTGATGCAAACTGTTAAAGTAAATCTTTTTTTTTTTGAGGCAATACACAATTTTTTAGAATGTAGCAAGTTCAACAGAACAGATTTTTTTCAAATAAAAATCTTTTGTAACATTATAAATGGCTTAATGATATAATATATAATATAATATAATATAATATAATATAATATAATGTAATGTAATATAATATAGTATAATATAATATAATATAATATAATATAATATAATATAATATAATATAATATAATATAATATAATATAATATAATATAATATAATATAATAATTGGCTCTATCTCTGAAATGACTTTCTGTTTTGGCCTGACGCCACAAATCCCTCTTAGTTTCAATGCTTCTGTTCTACAATACTTTTCACAATAACTGAATGAAATTCCTTCAACTTTTACATTAATGTTTTCATCCCGCTGAATATCCTGTTGCACTCAGAAATACGTCACATTATGGAAGTAAAATGGTTGCAAAAGACATTTAGAGGCTATTATTTCCATAGAAACAAGCTGACAAGCTATTAAATGCCATAAGTGAGGTATTGTCACAATCATGCATTGTACAGCTCATATTTACTTACCCTATAGTCACTGGCAGTAACATAGAAGATTGGCTGGAAAGCCAGCCAGATTATGCACGTGGTGTACATGGTGAAGCCGATGAACTTGGCTTCATTGAAGTTCTCTGGGCACTTTCGAGTCTTAAAGGCGTAAAATGTACAGAGGATGATGAGGACACAGTTGTAGGTTAAAGACATCAGCATGCTAGAATCCTTGCTGTTGCACTTCAATGTCACCACGTCTCTTCTTTCAGGACTGACCTCCTTTCTCACCCCTGGAGCCTCAACCAGAAGCCAGACCACAACCACCAGGAGCTGACAAGAAATCAGACCAGCACAGATGGCCACCTGTGAAGCTGGACTGATGAACCTCGGCCTTTGAGCTCCATCTTTAACGCCGTTGAAAATCCGAGCGATGCGGTTGGTCTTGGTCAGCAACGCAGAGTAGCAAACGGCGAAGGAAGTGCCCAGGCCGAGCCGCCGTAACGTGCACACTACGGCAGAGGGTTTGCTGATGTAGATGAAGGTCATGCAATAGCAAAGGAGGACACCTAGCAGAAGAATATAGGAAAGTTCACGTCCGCTTGCTTTCACCACCGGTGTCTCATTGTTCTTTATGAAGAGGCCGATGACAAAGAGTGTGCAGAGCATGCCAAGGCAAGAGATGGTGACCGGGCCAATAGCCCAAGCGTCCTCCCAATGAATGTACTCTTCTGGTAAGTTGTAGCAGCCCGTGAGATTGTCCAGAGGCCATAGTCCGAAGCCACAATCCGCACAGGTGAATTCGTCGAGGAGGTACTGGTAGGACTGGCAGGGAATGCAAATCCAACAGCAAACGTCACCGGGCTGCATGCTCTTTATTTCGTTTTTCCTACATGGGTCACTGCATTGGGATGTGGGCACCACTTGGCTTTCCCAAGGAATCAAGCTTGTGTTCAGACTTAAATCCCGAGCCCAATATCCCACTTTCCTATAGACATAGCCATCATTCTCTTTGTGATAATGGAAGATGTTGTAGCGGCCCAGACTGTCTCCATAAGCATCAAAGTGAACATTGTTCTCTGTATCTGCGGGGCGAAATGGAGCTGCGGACACAAAGGGCATATGATAAACATAATTTATTTACATTCTTGGCAACAGATAAATAGATATTTAAAAGCAGCAAAGTGTTTTTCTTTGCAAGCAGAACATGTCCAACCCAAAAAGACCTTCTTATGTGAGTCCACCATACTTTCTTCAGCGTTCTGCCCTGACCATTTTTCATTAGGTTTTAGATGCAGTGGACTCAGGTGCGAATGGCACATTTACATAATGGAAGTCAGGAGGTTGATACATCGCCTGGTTTCTATGATGTAATTTGTCATTCTTCGAAGAACATAAAAATGAAACATAACAAAGAAATAGGTGAAGAATAGCTATAGGAACTCGACAGTCTGCCATCAGTTCCCTAATACAAGCAATTGACCACTCGGCACAAACATTTAATATACATCCCTGCTTGTACTTGTTTAAATCATTTAGAAGTTAGCAAGGGGTTAATGAGGTTAATGCATGTAATAAAACACTTGTTTGTAATAAAACACACTGTACACAGGTCATATGTTGGATTCATGCATTAGTGTAATCTATTTTACTGCAGCAGTTTTCCCCTGGGGAAACTTCCTAGATCCATTTATCTTTCAAATTGATTTCTTTGACTAAACAAAGAACAGACATACATTTATTAAGATATACTGATACAAAAAAAAATTGTGTTTGTGTTGAGATTTAGATGAGTGCAATTTTTTAACTTTATTCCTTGCATGCTATAGAGATAACATGAAAATAAGCTAGCTGGAATCCCAGGATGCAAAATGATTGAAAACTGCATAAGGGAGTCATTCATAAATTTAACAATAGCCAAATCAACTAAAAAGGATGTTGAAATTGTTGGACTTATATTGTTTTGTTTTTTTATTTACAGGTATTGTCTGAATTTTTTTACAGTATATATATATATATATATATATGAATACAAATTGTCATATTTTAATGTTTGCGCATCACAGTCAATAAATATATCAGATAAAGGTATAAGCTCTATAATTGAAGATTTTGGTAAATATTTACATTTTAGTCTGTTCCTTGCACACATCTTTAATATGATTTTAGATTACTTGAAATATATAGGATATATAGGACCAAGTCATATGGACCATCTTTATTATAGTTTTATGGTGCTGTTTAGTCTTTTCTGCTTTTGAAAACGAACAGTGTGAACATTTTACAGCATGAACCCTCTTTTGTTTTCATAGAAGAAAAAATCCTATTGAATTGAAATGACACGAAGGTGAGTTAATTACAGGATTTATTTTTTGGGTGAACAACCTCTGATTATAAAGTGAACATAAATTATATAATCTATCACTTTAAAAAAAAACTCACAGTCAAAATTTGTCTTCAGGATGTAGTCCTTGTACAGCTTTTTTCCATTCACTGGTTTCAGGGCACTGCAGAGTTTGGTGGTATTTGAGCACAGTGCTTGTCTCATGTTGTGAAGGGCATGGGCCATAGCGTAGACAGCATTGACCACAAACATGATCTTGGACTCCTGCTCGAATTTACCATCCCGGAGAGAATATTTCCCACAATTAATGTCGTGCAGGCTACACTGAAAGCGGTTTTCCCAGAACTCTCTGAACCAGGGGTTACGTGTGTTGTTGTAAGGATTGAGGTTAGTGAAGTACGTCGCGAATTCAGGGATCGGATAGGACGCCAGCTCAATGGTGAAAGCTCCATCCGCTACATTCTCGCTCCCTCTCACCACACTCTCCTGCGCCCCCCAGCCATCGCTGGCCACCCAGATGAAGGAGACGTTCATGCGCTTCGCTGCAACCAAGAGCTCTCTTGCGTCTTCACTTCTGGTGAAGAGGATTACTACTTTAGCGTTGGACTTCTGCAACAGAGACCTGATTACTCCATCGTAACTGAAGCGGTCCATGGAACGACTGACCTTGGCGGACGTAGCGATGCAGATTTGCAAAGCTCGGGCCTCTTGCTGAAAGGCGTCGATACCCGTCTCGCCGTAATCGCCCTCTGAGGCAACGGTGGAGACGTAAGTCCAGTTGAAATAGCGTAGGATCTCAGCAATGGCTTTGGCTTGGTAGAAGTCTGGGGGTACAGTCCGGGCAAAGTAATCATAACGGGATTTGTCACTCAGTTTCGCACTGGTGGAGGCATAACTGATCTGAGGAATCTGGAAAAGACGCAGGAGATTGGCCACCTGCAAAAGGACAAATGAAAAACTGTGATGAAAAACTACTGAAGTGTGTAAATGGCCACACTATTTCACTGTGATTCGTGAGTGTTGGCTGTCAGTATAATTCTCATAAACGGCGTGATCAAAATGATGTTTATTTAGAGCCTGCAACCCTGTGGGGTTTTCATGGTCAGCCCAGTTTTAACTCAAGAGTTACAAAAGATTTATATTTCAAATAAATGCTGTTCTTTTGAACATCATATTCATCAAAGGATCCTGAAAAAGTGCATTATGGTTTCAATAGAAATTTTAAGCCACACAACTGTTTTCAACATAGATCATGAGAAATGTTTCTTGAGCAACATAAGCGTATAATAAAAATGTCTGAAGGATCATGTGACACTGACTGAAGACTGGAGTAATAGCTGCTAAAAATTGATCTTTGCCATTACAAGAATAAATACATTTTAAAATTGGTGAGTATACGAGGCTTCTTTCAAAAACATAAATAAAACTGCACTTACCACAAACTTTTAACAATATTGAATACACACATTTATAATAATACTTATTGTTCTTATGACTAAACTGATTCAAATTAACGTTATTCAGAGATTAAAAAACATCTACACTCAAATTAAACAATATCAAATAAACACATGCAAATCTCAAACCCTGTGAAGCCATTTTTATCTTTCAGTGTTGTCACAGTTACTGTGTTTTGCCATATGTGCATACTCGAAAATAGTTTATGTACGATCATCTGCATTTACAGAAAATGTTGAAAATGCCAGTTTAAAAAAAAACTGTAGTTAGGTCTGTCCCTTAGGTCTAAGCATGAGAATGTAATTCCTCTAATAACAACACAAAGTATGACAGATATAACCACACAGTTATAACCACACTTAGCATAGTGATTAGTTAGTCTCACCCTTCTCACTTGTCTCATCTCTGAGAACCCTATTGGCAACACTTCACATTTCCATTTTCACAATAAAATAATATCATCCCAAAGGAAATTAGCCCAAGAAACTTGCATTCTTTACATCTTACATAGGTGCAGCATCGTCAGCGGCAATTCATGGAAGAATAGAGCGGCAACTCTATTCTTGCAGTTATTAAACTTAAAAAAACTCTTTAACCCTTCCACTGTCATAACAGACATTTCTTTATGAAATACGCATGTACGCAAACTGTAGATCTATGAGAGAGTTCATTCACTGGTTAGGTGTTGATGGACACTGAAGCACTAGATCTATATGGTTTTGCACACCATTTTTTTTGCCAGCAGTATGTGTGTTTTTAGTTGTGATTATGTGATATGCAATAGAGCCTGACTGTCTTTGCCTCAGGCAGTTCCTTAGAAGCCTAAGGGAAAGTCAGCATGAAGACAGCAGCAGCGAATAAGAAAGCTCTTCAGGATTTCTCTGTATTGTATGTCAACATTACATTACATGTAATTGTCATCTGACTTACAGCTTAACTCAACATCACATAAACACAAAAGTGAATAGTGCATATGAATACACATCTCATACGCAAAAGAAAAGGGCTCATAAAAAGAGAAATACAAAGAGGGTCTTTTCTGCATGCTATCCCAAAAAGTTTTTATTTAAATGCAGTGCTTCCCAAAAAATTTTTGTAGTTTCATAATGTAATTATTGTTGAGGCTCAACAAGTATGAAATATCAAAGCAAATCACATTCACACAACTTGTTACATTATCTTTGTAAAGATCTGCCGAAAATAATTATATTCTTCACAATTAGGTATTTTATTAGGCCGTCTGACCGACATGTAAACCAACCAATCACAGTTCGATGCATTATGTTTAGGGGCGTCGATGTTCCTACAATAACAGCCCGGTGTGTAAAACTCTTGGAAGTAATTTAAGAGAGTCTAGGCCGCAAACTTTACGTACTTCACAGAATTTTGAAAATCCAGCATTTAGTTGATCCTGATAAGCGCTTATTGTCACAGTTGTTTCCAGGCGGACCGTTTAAGAACGCGACACACACGTCTCCTGGAAATCCTGTAGAATTCAAGATGACGACGTCGAAACTCCTGAAGTGTTTCCAATTTGTGTGCCATATACGTACATCAGACGTTCATCCAGCGGTCCGTGGGAGTGATGTCTAGACTGGGACTAATTTATCCCTAACAAATCTCCTAATAAATATCATTATAAATGGAATCACAAACTAAATATGTGCACGGTAAAATAAAGCAATTACTGACCACTGTTTTGTAAACAAAAATGGAATAAAGATATTAAGCACCAAGGCCACAACCAACTCTTCACATCCTCCAGACTCAAGACTAGCTTTCTCCTTCAAACAAAAGGCAATAAATTATTAATGTAACTGCCTTTCCTCGTGTACTTTCACTTAAACGGCCACTTACTACCTAAGAACAAATACTACCTGCCTGCTATGATGTCAGTAAAATTTCTATTGCACACTGCCCTACTTACTGTAAGTGTTTTACCTCAAGAATGCATTTAAGAGCAATTTTCATGTCATTCTGTGGTTACTAATGCATGGCAGTCTGTTTTGCGTCAATATTAATGTCACTTTTGACTATGTGGTACTGCTGGGGCCAAAACTGATACTATCTTGCTGGTCATTAGCGCAATATAAACCACAACAGGGTGATCAAGTGCTTTAAATTAAACGACTGCTCGCCTGATAAATTAAAACGTGGTCATTAAATATTGATTTGAAATTATTTTAATATCTTTCATGGACTGTATATTGTAAGTTAGGACAAATATAGTCCATTCCCAACTAACAAATATATGCTCTATGAACATTTTGCTAACCCATTAAGTTATGAAAGTGTTAAGTGTTTTCCGAAAAAGCACTCCATGAATAAAATAAAAAATAAAAATTTTGTGATAATTATTAAATGGAATTAATATTAGATAAGATGTGTATTAATGTTAATAGGTGACACCAGAATTATGTTATACAGATATTAGACATAACCTTCTATCATAAAACTATCTCTCTCTGTAATGCATAGCATAATGACATATAGATTCAGTCATCTCATATAGGAATTTCCAGGGGCATTTTTTTTTACAGTTCTCAGAGAGACGCAATATGAAAAGTTCAGCATACATTTTTCATATCTGTTGCTATAGAAACAAGTTGGGTTGAATATGAAATGGTGCCTTTGAGAAGCAGAGGTTAATGTTGTTACTTTGTTTCCCTAGAGGTTTCCTGCCTCACTTTGAGATCAGCCTCTATTACGATTCAATGTCATATAACATTAACTTAAACTAAAACCCTCCATCTTTGTCAAGTCCAGACTATCTGTGTTTATTCATATTAGAAGACAGCTGCCAGGTTTTCCTTCAAATCCTCTAGATTGACACACCCTTACTTTGAGGCCAAATTGCAGGATTTGAGGAAAAAACAGAAGCAAGGTGAAATCCACAACATATTTATTTAAAGCTGTAGTCCACAGTTTTTTCCTCTTTGTCGCCATCTCTGTTCGAAATCTGCAATTGCAGTTATTCGTGGAATTATCAACTTTACGTGGGTTGTGCCTCGGCACGGAACAGCGCGGATGAATCCGATGTTTTGAGGAGAATTTTAGGCTGTGAGTCGCCGCACCGGTGTGGATACTGGCATTCGCAATCACAGATTCTACTTTTTGGAAGTATGACCAACATAAGAATTTTTACCGGAAAATGTCATCTGAATAAGTAAGTAACATCCACTTTTGTTCTGACAAACTAAGGGAAAAAAGCATTGCAGTGAATCGCGCTGATTAAATATAACGATCGCTTATCATATCACGTAAAACCATGCAAATTATACTTTCTTCTCAAATTGTAATGTTAATAACATCAGCATTGCGTGACTACATTTAATGCCCTTCCGATATTATCCTTGTTTTCGCATGGGTCCGGTTGCAGTCTGTTTTTTTCTGTAGCCACTCCGAAGTCCGAACGAAGTCTTTTGCATTTTACAGCGGGTGAATCTGTTGTCACTGGTGATTGTCGTTTGAACCTGTCTGGATCCGCCATCAAATTGATAAGTTTAATTACATCAAGTGCTGTGAGAAAAGGCTATAAATCTCCACCTCCAGCATCCTCACACGCAATATAGCCTACTAGCCGAGACTCCTTCTTTATGTGTACAGATGTGACGTAATGACACAAAGACATGCTTGAATCTCCCGCGGAAATCCACCAGTACCACTGGAATTAAAAACATTATTACAAGCTTACCGTTTTGAATCGACCTATAAGGCAAGCAGGTAGTTTTGAACACTGGCTGGTTATGTACTTGCTCAAATTTATTTTGGATAATTTTTAACCCAAAAAAGCTACGGACTGGAGCTTTAATATTATTAATGGTTTAAATGAAGAAATATAACATGTATAAAAGTAAGATATATAACTTCATGGGTGTTGCAGAAATATAACTAGAGACTATCAGTAATTATCTCTATGCTAATCACCTCTTAATTATAGTTCATTTTCTAATTTGCTTCTAAATTAGATTTAATAGCAGTCTTGTATTAATTAGCCAGCTTTGTACAATAGCTGCCATCAGTCTGAAGTGCATGCAGGTGCTCATATATTTATTTATTACAGTTCAGGATTGTTGCTTCTGCCTGATGACATTCTAAAAGCTGCCAAACACAATAAGATGATTTTCACCAAGCCAGTGTTTTAGTATACAGTACAGCTTGATAAATAGCAAGGATCCAGCATACAAACAAGTTACAAACTACTTAAAGGATAAAGGACCATGTTTTTTTGGGATAGCACGGTGTATCTAATGTCCAAGCACAAATGATGTGGGACGAGTTAAACACTGTTTTATACTAAAAGCGTAACTTAAAGTATGTCAAAAGTCAATAGTAGCAATATTGCTGGTGTTAGCAAGTACCGTTAATGAATGAATGAGATGAAATATTAAAAAACAGATGGCAGTGCACAGACACTAAAAGATCATCAAAGGTTTCAAAATTCAAATTGGTCACAGTTACAGTACCAGCTTAATGTT